TATGTAGGGTCCATATGTTGTCAAGAGACACCAGCTGCTATGATTAATTATTAAAACTTAAACTAATTTTTTTTTTGTTTTTTTTTGAGACAGGGTCTCCCTGTAGCCCCAGCTGGCCTGGAACTCACTATGTAGACCAGGCTGACCTTGAACTCACAAAGATCCACCTGCTTCTGCCTCCCAAGTGCTGTGATGCACTATGCTACCATGCCCCAGCTAAATGACTATTTTTCAAGCCTGAAATTTCAAAATTGAAATTTTTGGGCCTCATTAAGAGACACATATTTATTAAATATATGCACTCGTTTTAAAGAAAATAAATTCAAGGAATGTTCTTTAAAACAAGAAAACAGACTTGTGCATCTGATTTGCATAGAAGCTAAGAGATAAAACCAAACTTAACAGTTAAGATCAGTTTTCAGAGTTCTTTAGGGGGTCTAAAACAGCAGCAACAAAGGCAAAACACTGGAGTCATCTGTGTTTTTTCCCAGGAGCAGAAATTAGTATGCCACACCGAACATGTCTATTTGAGTACAGGAGGCTCTTTATGTTATTTTTGAAGCAACAAATAATACCACCCCCTACCCCAGGAAGAAGTGTTTCATTGAATGTGGAACTCTTAATTTTTTTTTAAATCAGTGTCCTACTTTGCTTTCTGTTGCTGTGATAAACACCAGGACCAAAAGCAACTTGGGGAAGAAAGAGTTTATATTTCATCTTAGATTTCCAGGTCACCATCAATCATTAAGGGAAGACAGGACAGGAACTCAAGGCAGAAGCTTGGAGCACAGACCATAGGATGAACGCTGCTTACTGGCTTGTTTCCTGGCTTGAGCTCAGCTACCTTTTGTATATGTCCCAGATCTCCCTGCCCAAGGATGGTGCTGCCCATAGTGGACTGGTTGTCCTCACATCAATTGTTGATTAATATAATTTCTTACAGATATGGCCACAGACTATTCTGATCTGGAAAACCCCTTAATTCAGATTTCCTCTACCCAAGTGATTCTAGGTTGTACCATGTTGATAATTAAAACTAACTAGCACAAGCAAGGTCTTATGTAGTCTAGAATTGCCTCAAATTTATGATCTGTCTTGGCCTCTAGAGTACTTGGATTACAGGCATGTGCCATCACACTGGGCTGGAAGTTTTAAATTTAAGAAAATATTTTTCCGTAAAGGTCTTTTTATGTTTATGAAGATTTTTTTACTCTTGTTGAAGCAAATCTTAATTTGAACAAGCCTACTGATAAATGTTTTGAGACAGTGCCGGGAAGAATATTTAGGCCATGTCCATACATTACTTTATTTCCTGTATTCTTCCCTTTAAGTAATTAATCTGAAAATGTCCTTATTGAGAAATCTCTGTTCCACATTTGAATGAGTAGTCAGAAACAAGATTAGTACGTATAATTGAATAAATTTGGATGTAAGAGCATGGACCTCCTTTTAGCTAGATTCAAGTTGGAATTTTGGCTTCTTGCTCACTGGATGGCTAGGAGCCTTTGGATATGTTATTTAGCCTCTCTCTGCCTGGTTTCTTCATTTGTAAGATGGAGATGCAAATATCGGCCTACAGATTTTGTATTGGAGGATTATATGAGATGAGGATGTAGAGTGTTTGGCTGTTGGTTGTCTTCCTCATGGCCTTCCTTGTTCTGTCTACTACTTCTCTCTTCTCTGCCCACTTTTCATCAGTCATGGATCCCAATCTTTTTACCAACAAGAGCTGTGTTTATTAATATTTCTCCATCTAGGGCAGTGAACCTGGGACCACAGGAAAGGAAAGCATAGCATAAAATGTCACCAGAAGGGGAGAGTAGAAAGAAGATGCCTTGTCTGTCCCCTGCCTCATTCACAGGGAGAAGCTTTGAAGAACAGCTCTTTGGAGGTTGAATGGCAGGGACTCAGAAATGTGTGTGAAGAGAAGTCAAACAAAGCTTGCTCATTTCCAACTTTTCTGACTTTCACAGCCCAGAACACACACGTGTGCATAAGAACAGAAACTCAAGTTTACTTCAACTGATTTTGAACCCTGCCCAATGACAGAACAATTAAGCTATGCACTTTGAATTAAATTTAGCTCAAGCTTAGGACACACAATGACCTCACCTGTCACTGCTCATCAGCATCTACCCTGCTGATATCTAGCACTTTACTTGTTTGTCCCAGTCTGGTCTCTGGTCTCTGAGCTATTGGTTTTCCTTCTTGGCTGACTCCCCACCCTGGTGGGGCTGCTTTTCCTCTCCACTGTTAGAAGACTTGTTGCATGGCTATTTCAGTTCCCAGTGCCCTTCTTTTCCACTATGCTCACCAGCACCATGCCTATGTGGGACATGGCAGCTACTCCACTCGTAGAGCCCCAAATACATATCTGAGTATTCCATCGCCCACGTATTCTTCCACAAGATTGCAGGTCAGGGTCAGTACCTAGGTTTCTTAGGATGACAGGAACTTTTCTTTCTCTCTGTTCCTTATGACATCTTATATCCCAATTCTTTTAGAATTCATCCTTTAAAACTTGAAGAAACTTTTTTCTTTCTTCTCAAAATGCTCAATTAGTGAAATTTCCAATGGTTAGTACTTGGACCTCTTCTGTTGCCGCTAAGAGTTTCAAGAGTCATTTTGGAGCTTGAAAAACAAGAATTTAACGCCTTTCCTCTGTGTTTGCTCCCCCGACCCCTCTGGCAAGGCATGTCTCCGAGTAAATAGAAGATGGTTGGAGAAGGAGTAAATTGAGTTAACATCTCAAGATATTATTCAGTTACATTGGGTTGACTAAATAGATGATGTAGCTGTCATTTGTAGAGCAAATGTGGAGACATGAGCATTATTTATATACTGTTGTTAAGACTTTATATTGGTAGGATTCTCTGGAAGTGAAAACTAGTCATATTTTTCAAATATCAATTATACGTACTTTTGATCCAATGATTCTTGTTTTGAAGAATTTCCTTTAAGAGAATAAGTGAACAAATATATAAATATGTAGGTGAGGAAATATTTATTGTGGCATCAGGTATGATAAAAGGAAATTAGAACTAGATAGAGTACCTAGATATGGAGGATTTTCTAAAATACTATAATATATACAAGCAATGGGATGCAAGATAACCAACAGAAATGGGATTTTGTTTTATTGACTTTGGAGGATGGATGGCATATTTAAGTGAAATATGAGATTACAAAATATTATGGATAGAGTGACCCCTGTTTTGCAAAAAATATTATATCATTATAATATAATACTATACAGCTATCCACCTATTTACCTATCAAGTCCTGAAATTTTTATGGATATTAGTATTGGAAGTATTAGTGTTCATGAAAAGCTCTTACAATTAAGAAAAATTAAAAACATGGTTTTTCAATGAGAAGAAAAAAATATTCAAAGGGAAAAAATTTCAGTTAGTTGCAATATTTTACAGTCCCCGAGGCTCCTTTGCTCAGCTGACTGAATGATGATGCTTAGGTGGTTTTTTTATCCCAGACGTGGATCCCTTGCTCTTTGTGTTTAAGACAGAGGCAGTGTACGATAAAAAATTTTATATTAGAGGAATGAATACATTTGCATGTATACATTTGCTTAATATGAGACTTGAGATTCCCTGTCTGCCATCCCAGCTTCCTCGGCTGCTTTGCTTTTGCAACTCCATGCACCCTCCAGATTTATGAGTTCTGCCAGAACTGTGAATTCCCCAACCTCAGCATTCCATTTACCATCTCAGTTCCCGGGCCTAGCTAGGCTCACAAACCTAGTGTACACAGCACATCTGTGAGTTCTCCAGCCTCAGTGATCTCTTTCTCCTGTCCCACTGCCCCAGGCCTAGCTTGGGTCATGCAAGTTTCCATACCTGTCCAGCTTGGTCAGTTCTACAAAAACTTGCCTACCCTTGTCGCCATCTGATACTCTGATGCAGAACTGGGACTGTGTGGCTTATACATCAGCCCAGACAGACCAAATCAAAAGTTGCATTCTCACATGTTCTTGGTTACCACTGAATTGGAATCACTCCCACCTCTCCAAACACTGACCCATCATCTTCCCTCTAACTTACATAGCAGCTATCAGCTACCCAGCCCAAACTGCTATTCCAGGACCATATGGAGTCTTTTCTAGAACCTCAGGCTCAGAAGTTGCTCCTGTCCTTAGCTGAATTGAGACCACTTCTTATACCCTAATCATACATCAACTCAGAGTGACCCCAAGACTGAACACCAAGCACTCAACTGGGCACATCCTGAGAAGCTGGTGTAACAGCAAACAAAGATACAAACACCCACTCAACAAAGATGAGATCAGTTATTCATACCAAGAAACACCACCGATGACACAACTCCAGATGCCTGGGTTCCATTGCACAAACAATCAAACAAACAAAGACACCATGAATCTGTCTCCTTTAGAAAACAGCAAGCCCACTGTAATATTTCCTGAGAAAGACAACCTAGCGGATGCACAAGAAAATGATTTCAAAATACTAATTATAAATATATTCAAGGAACTCAAG